AGTCCATTTTAGTTATTTACTTCAATATTAACAGATTTTAATTTGATAAACAAACAAATATACAGATTTAGGATAAATTATATAATTATATATAAATTTCAAATATAAAACACTTTTGTATTCATGCTTTTGTAACATATGATTGATTGGCATTTAGTTTCCATTCGGAGTTCACTTCAAAAGTTACTACAAGTGGTGGCCATAGAGGAACAACAGTCATAACTTATAAGATTACAATTTCTCGCATTTGATTGTGGTTTTCAATTTGATGTTTATAAACAAATATTACAATAATTTTTAAAATATTTCGAGATTTTGTATGCAGTTTTCTAAACAGTTTGTTTATATTTATATGGTATATAATTTTCATATAATTCGTGTTAACACTTGTTATCAATTCTATTATAAAATATCATCAAAAGTTACATGAAATGGATTTCATATAATATTATATAATATATATTTATGTCAGTTGTTTTTATTTTGTATACTTCTGTTTTCTGTTTTAGTAATTAATAAAAATTAAAAATACAAATAAATCAATGATATATTCATTCAAATAATTATATTTATATGAATTTTATATAAATAGCGAATCAATGATCGAATTAAATGAAACAAATGATAAGAAAGTGTTAACGAAATGAAAATGAGATCAAAAAATTCGTTATATTACATAACAGTTATATATATATAAAAATATTGTCGACTCTTATCTAAAGTCAACACTTTGTGTCACAATTAGCTGTTTGTTGTAAACCAGTTCTACTGAGAGGTAAATAGATTTTCTGAACACTACTAACAGGTCTGCGACAAAGAGGACAGCGATCACAGAGAGGGGCACAGGAGTCACAGCACACGACATGTCCGCAGTTGAACGCAGTGCACACTTCGCTGTCAAAACAGATCCGACATAACATCGAGTCCTGTAAGGCATCCAAACGATCCTTCATATCCTTGAATACATGAAACAATTATTCATAAAATCAATTCTAGTCGTCAGAGTTGTCATACTTTGCATTCAGATTTCCTACACAAATGCGGATGACTGGCAATGGATTCAAATTCAAGGCAGAGATCACCTAAAGATTTAAGACTTTCCGTCTGAGAGGAGTCTTCAGATTTGGCGATGGCTTCCAATTGGTAGAGCTCTCGTCGGGTGTGATCATAGACTTCCCGACACGTCCTCCTGATATCGAACACATAATTCTTGCCTAAAGTGGTGTTTTCGTTGAATAATGAGATGATAGTGCCCTTGAGGTCTCTAATGAATTGTGTGGCCACAGTATTCCTCACAGTTTCGCAGCTATAAAATGCATGCTTTTCGGTGACCGCTCTATAAATAGCATTAGCCGTGAGAGCGCTCTCCAGTCGGAAGCCGAGGGCCTGACTCTCGCCATTGCCTTCGATGTACGTCAAGAAGAAACAACGGCCCGAATGTGTGGCCATATGTATACATGAATATTGAATACTATTCACAAATTAAAGAAACAAAATCTTTCAATTCGTTTATCAATTTAATTAACGCATTTAAATAAGAATAGCATAAAAATATTTTTAACAATAACACAATAATAATTAAACTCAATATTCTCTATTAAAAAATATGTTGTTAAAATTCTTATTTGGTTTATATAAAATATATAAATATTCATATCTCATATGAATTTTTTAAATAAAAAAAATAATAAAATTGCACATCTACTTCATTACAGTATCAGTTTGTTTTTATTTTTAAATAAAATACTAGAGAATACTCGTTGGAAATAAAGGTATTTACAGGCCTTGAGTTTAGTAATTAATGTGTTTATGGAAATTTGTGCATTCATTTCAAAATATATTTTTATCACAAATACAATCAATATTAGTGAAATTCAATTCATGGATACTATTTAGCCAAACAAAGACAAATGTTTTTCAAATTAATTGTTTAGACACTGTTTATCAAATAATTAAATTAATATAAAATGAATTGTTCATGATATTAACTTGTAAGAATAATTCAAATCTTTCTAATAATGTTCTTTAATTAAAAACAATGTTTTAGTTTTCATTATGAATCATAATTTATGATAACATTTTAACCATAATTAAAAATTAAAAATATAAACTGTAATTAAA